AGGTCTCCCCTCAGCCTCCTCTTCTCCAGGCTGAATAACCCCAGCTCCCTCAGCCTCTCCTCATAAGACTTATTCTCCAGACCCTTCACCATCTCTGTCCAGGGATGGTGACTCAACCCCCTCCCTGGGCAGCCTGTTCCAATGCCCGACCACTCTTTCAGTGAAAAATTCCTTCCTAATGTTCAGTCTAAACCTCCCCTGTGGGTCTGCGACTAATTGGATGGACTTGGTAGCTAAAAGCTGAATGACAAGTCAGATACGTCTTCCCTTATTTCCTCTTGTGAGTAAATGAAATAAACTTTGCTTATCTCAAGTCCTACCTCGTGCAGCTCAGCGTCTCACCCCCCCACACCTCTGAAATCATTTTCCTTGGAAAGGTGTTCAAAAGACGGGTTGATGTAGTGCTGGGAGGGATGGTTTAGTGATGATGCTCCTTGTTTGTTGTGTGGGTGTCTATTTTTGTCAGTGAGGTTGACGGTTGGACAAGATGATCTTGAAGGTCCCTTCCAACCTAGAAGATTCTGGGATTCTGTGTCAGAAATAGAAGTGCTTCTTACTCCTATTAACTTTTTTACCCAATTCCCCGTTTACACGTGTCCCAATTAATTAATACAATGTCCAAAGCTGAAGGCACTGTAAGCTGTATCATGAAGGCACCATAAACTGTATCAGGAAAGCTGAAGGAGCTAATTGACAATTACCAGACCTTCCTAAGGATATAAATCATGGATGGATGCAGTGAGCCTTCCCAGAGAAATACTGTGGTGCCAAGATGATGCAGGTTTTCAGGAAGGGAATGAGATGGAGGTGAATTTTAACGAGCCTGAAACGGAGGACAGATTTCATCAGCAAAGCTGCTGGTGGTTTCTACTCCCAGGACTCCTGAAAACCAAGCTGAGTGGGTAATTGCATGATTTCAAGCAGTTTCTCTGCTGAACTCCCCACGGATCCTCACATGTTCTTCAACTTCTCTAGGGCAAGCTGCCAGCACGGATCACGGTGCCCCTGTCGGTGATCAGCCAGCCCGTGAAAGGCAAGAGCGTGGTGACTGCCCCCATCATCAAGGGCAACCTTGGGGCCAAGTGAGTATTTGGAGTTAGAAATAAGCTGAGGAGGGTCTGTGTTCAGTGGGTTCCTGGGGACCTTGCAAGCAGAGGGTGGGATAGACATCTAGTCCGTTGATAGGTCCATTAGCTGCAAGAAATGGAACATGGACAGGGAACTACTAGAAAGAGTCCAGCGAAGGGCAACAAAGATGATTCAAGGATTGGAGCATCTCCCTTATGAGGAGAGACTGAGAGAGCTGGGACTCTTTAGTCTGGAGAAGAGAAGGCTGAGGGGAGACCTTATCAATGCCTACAAGTATCTCAAGGGAGGGTTGAAGGAGGAGGGAGCCAGACTCTTTTCAGTGGTTCCCAGTGAGAGGATGAGGGGCAATGGGCACAAGTTGGAACAGAAGAGGTTCCACTCAAATATGAGGAGAAACTTCTTCATGGTGAGGGTGACAGAGCCCTGGAACAGGTTGTGGAGTCCCCTTCCTTGGAGAGTTTCAAGCCCCACCTGGATGCTCCTGAGTAACATGCTCTGACAAGCTCTAGGCAATCCTGCTTCAGCAGGGGAGTTGGACTAGATGATCTCTATGGTCCCTTCCAACTCTAAAAAATTCAGTGAAATTCAGTGAAATGTGGTGTCGTGCCCTGAGGTGCAGGTTCTACAAATACACTGAAGAAAATATGTTCTCTGCTTGTCTTGAAACCAGCTATTAGATTAGTTCTGTTTGAGCAAGAACAAACCTAAAAATATGTGCCATCTGAGGCCATCTCTCCGTTAAAGGAACCAGGGAAGTGTTAACTGCCTCGGTGAAAATTCCTCTGATTCAGATATTGAAGTCTTTTTGTTTATTCTTCCCTGAATTCTGGTGGTGTCCCCTGTAGTTAATATCTCCAGGCAGAACACTCTGTGCCTGGCTATTTTCTGCCTTCCTTGAGAAGTGTTCAGCTCTGAGCAGACTAACCCAGCGACGTGCATGGTCCAGAATCAGAGGGTTTCATTCCTGTGATTAAGTAATTCTCTTATCATAGTGATAAATGTTGACATAGACTTGTCTGCTATTTGTTGGTTTTGTAGGGAAAAACACCCCACGCTGCTTAAAATCATAAGTAAATTTAGTGAGTAACTTTAATGAATGTGAAAGACCCAGCCTGCTCTGCTCTTTATTAACCTCTCCACGATTCTCTTCCCTTAGCATCAGTGGGTTGGGCAGAAATATCATCCTGACCACGATGCCAGCAGGGACAAAACTCATCGCTGGGAACAAGCCAGTGAGTTTTCTGACTGCACAGCAACTGCAGCAGCTGCAGCAGCAAGGCCAGGCCACGCAGGTAACGGCACCTAGAATGATATTATTTGCTTTTTTTATAGGACTTAACGTCTCCTCTGGGAATTCCCTCCCATTACATCCTCATTGGGAAATTGAGGAAGTGTGGGCTAGATGAGGGGGCAGTGAGATGGGTTGAGAGCTGGCTGTGTGACAGGACTCAGAGGGCTGTGATTGATGAAGCAGAGTCAAGTTGGAGGCCTGTAACCAGTGGTGTCCCCCAGAGGTCAATACTCGGCCCAGTTTTGTTCAACACATTCATCAGTGACCTGGCCAAGGGGACAGAGTGTGTCCTCAGCAAGTTCACTGATGATACCAAACTGGGAGGACTGGCTGACACTCCAGAGGGCTGTGCCACCATCCAGGGTGACCTGGACAGGCTGGAGAGCTGGGCAGAGAACCTAATGAGGTTCAACAAGGGCAAGCGTAGGGTCGTGCACCTGGGGAGGAAGAACCCCAGGCACCAGTAGAGGTTAGGGGTGGACCTGCTGGAAAGCACTTCTGAGGAGAAGGATCTGGGGGTCCTGGTAGAGAGTAAATTGTCCATGAGCCAGCAATGGGCCCTTGTGGCCAAGAGGCCAATGGGATCCTGGGCTGTGTAGGGAAGAGTGTGGCCAGGAGGTGGAGGGAGGTCATTCTCCCCCTCTGCTCTGCACTGGGGAGGCCACAACTGGAATCCTGCCTCCAGTTCTGGGCTCCCCAGTTCAAGAGAGACAGGGAACTGCTGGAGAGAGTCCAGCGTAGGGCAACAAAGGTGATGGAGGGCTTGGAGCATCTCCCTGATGAGGAAAGGCTGAGAGAGCTGGGGCTCTTGAGCCTGGAGAAGAGAAGGCTGAGGGGAGACCTTCTCAATGCTGACAAGGATCTCAAGGGTGGGTTGAAGGAGGAGGGAGCCAGACTCTTCTCAGTGGTTCCCAGTGACAGGACGAGGGGCAACGGGCACAAGCTGGACCAGGGGAAGTTCCACTCCAATGTGAGGAAGAACTTGTTTGGGGTGAGGGTGGCAGAGCCCTGGGACAGGCTGCCCAGGGAAGGTGTGGAGTCCCTTTCTCTGGAGATCTTCAAGCCCCGCCTGGATGCTCCTGAGTGATGTGCTCTGGGCAGAGGGGCTGGACCAGAGGATCTCTAGAGGTCCCTTCCAACTCTGACAGTTCCATGTGATCCATGTGTGACTTCACCCCTGATGCTGAGGGTTCCATAAAGCTTGGCCATAGCTCCACAGCTTGGCCGTAGCACCTGCATTAAACACATGCAGTGCGTCATCTCCTTTACCTTTCCTCCACCCAGATACAGTTTTTATCTGTTTTTGAAGCACTGAGAGTGTAAGGGATGTAAAACCAAAGATCTTGGCAGGAAGCCACCTGTGTGAGGGATTGTTTCTGTACTTTATTAGGCTTTTTTTGTTGTACTTTGGCTTCTGTGCGTCACCACTTCGTGAAGAAACCACATTGCTGCTTTGTCTGGAGACTTGGTGGTCTTTAATTCCAAATAATTAATCTTTATTGAGAGCTGCTTGTAACATATTTGTAGAAGTGAAGTACCCAGTGGATCCAAGTTCTTCTGAAAACTTGCAAAAGCAGCTGAATAGGTTTTTATTCAAGCTAATTCTTACTTCTTCCTCTCTAATCTGAAGATCTCTTGCCATCAGCCCACATAGACAGTGGTCTTGTGACAGATTCTGCTCTCAGTGTGATCTTGTTCATAAAACTGAATTTTTATTGGCAGCAGAAACATAATTTACCAGGGATTTCAGAGTGCAGCGTGTCAGCAGGTTGTTCTTGACGTGAGTTGAGATTTTTTTTTTTCTTTCCATTTCAAACAGGTTCGAATTCAAACTGTCCCAGCCTCCCACCTCCAGCAGGGCACGGTGTCTGGCTCCACTAAAGCGGTTTCCACTGTGGTTGTGACGACAGCTCCGTCTCCAAAGCAGACCCAAGATCAGCTGTAAACACTGGTTTGGACACAGATGGCTTTCCAAGAACTTCCCTCAGCCCGTGGTCGTCCTCCATCCAAGCCCCCAAGACTCCCTAACCCCAGTCCTGGCCTGGGATTGGACTGGATTCTGTCCCGTTGCTTGTCTGGAGTCAGCATTGTGATGTCTAGGTAGAAATTCCTACAAAACAGAATGTTTCAGTCCAGATGTGTAAAAGCCCAGTTCTGTGGCGTTGAGGGTTGTGAGAAATGTCTTCCTTTTCTTTCTTCTCTTCCCATCCAGAGGGCTTTTGGCGAATATAATTTCTGTGCATTTTGGGTTGTAGGCAAAGCAGTTGATCTTGGGTCTTCCTTAAGCAGGGAAACTTGCTTGGAAGAGGTGATTCTCAAAGTCCTGAAGAAGATGCCTCCTTTTGCTGGAGTCGAGCAGTCCCTTTCCATACTTTTCTATGTATGATTTAGGACGGTGGCTTGGACACCAGAGTTTGTTTGTAACATAGCCTGGAAGTAGATCCCCGACACGTTCAGTGTCCTATTTATAGACTTTTTAAATACCTCTCCCCCATCTCTGAGCTCTTTGGGACAAACACCGCTCCCGTGTCAAATTTCTGGCAAAGGCAGGATGAGAGAAAAGACGGTTTTTGCTAAAAAATATCTGGTGACCGTGGGGAAGAGTGAGAAGAAGAGATGCAGAAGGTCTCTGTGTGTCAACATACTGGACAGGAAAAAGCAACTGTTCACCAAGAGGATCCTCCTGTAGTTTTCCTCAACAAATAAACCTTTTTATCGGTCAAAAAAAAGACTAGCTTCTTTTAAAAGTTTGGAATATGTTTTCAAATAACTCCCCCGCTGTATAATCTCTTGGACTCGGAAGGAGGATTTTAACCTGTGATCCTGGCCTTGAGTTTTGTTTTCACCTTTGCAGTTTTATCTCTCTCTATGTAAACTTGTTTGAATTTTGCACATACCAGAGATGAATTCCTGGCTGTTGTGACACGGCCTCGGAGCTTTCTCGGAATGAGATGAGAAGAGGTGGTGGATCAGGAGAAAAATAAAAGGGCAGAAAACCTTAAACCTCTCTCTTCCATCTCCTTTTGGTTTTGTACAGCCTGTTTTGTGTTGTCCAGCTTGCCAAGGGCTAATAGATGGTCCATCTTCTTTGCAAGATGGGTCTTTTTAACCTGGTTTCTCTTGTAGTCTCTTTTTTTTCTTTTTTTTTTTTGGAAAATACGTGGTTTGCTCCCAATTACACATCACTGAATATAATCTGTTCAAAGAACCAAGTCGCTGAGCTGCGTGTGTCGCTGGTCAGAACTCCTGCACCTGAGCAGAGTGGGCAGTTTTGGGGTGGGTTGGAGGAAATGGGGTGTTTTGGTAAAAAAAAACAAGAAATGGTGAGCTGCAAACATTGAGGCACATCATGACATTGTTTGAAACAAGCACTTGGATTATGGTTTATATTCCTCCGGAACAGAATTTGGAGCGATAAAGGTTTTCTGAGCATTTCTCCTGCTTTGCCAGTTTTTGTCCCCATTTTACACGTTTAACTCTCGAGGGAGGAGGCAGCAGAAAGGCTGTGGTTTGGGAGGGACATTCTGAAGTCCTTTCAGCTGCGAAGTCAAAATAAGAAATTAAAAGAGATGACCAGCAACTTCCTGGTATTGCTTCTGTGAAAGAGCATCTCGATTGAATACATAATCAAGATAATCCTTCTGTGTTAGTTCTGCTCATCATTAATAGAGTTCTTCAGTGTCAAAACCTGTCACCAGAGGCTGAAAAAAGATCACAGCCCCTTACATTTCTGTGAATCCTCTTGCAAATACGTGACTTCTCAGTGAGCACAGGAGGCTGTGGCAATAATAAATTTAACGTAACGAGAAACCTGCATCTAATCCCATGGGTTTATTGCATCTCTGATTGTTGCTGCTGCTGGGTCTTGCTGTTGAGGTCAACACCATCCTTTTTCTTCCATCTCAGGGTTTGCTAAGCTGGTTGCCAGCACGTGAGCATCCCTTGTGTTCCTTTTTGCTTGGCTCAGGACCGTTCTCTTCACGTTAGATCTTCAGGGAAAGACCATCAGTCCCTACATGGGCTTCTTATTTCCAAGGCCCACACGCCGGATTAAATAGTGTATATTTACTCCTGGTTTTTCCAAACAAAATGCAGCCTCTTCTGTGGTTCAGCTGCCACCCCTGGGATGAGTTGCTTCCGCTCTGGTTGAAAAATAACCTTTAATCACCTTTGTTTTTAATCAGTAAACTTAACTCCCACACAGCAGGCTGAAGGGCAGAGAGGGGCTCCAGTTATTTTTTTTGGTGATTTTTTTTTTTGGTTTGGTGCTTTAAATACACCCAGAAGAGGGTGTATTTAAATCAGAGCGTGTTCCAGGAGGTGTTTGCTCCTGTGCCCTCTCACCCTGGCAACTGAGGGCCGTTCTGGGTGAGTATGTATGGGCCTGGAGAAAGTATTATTGACATTATACCCATTTTCCATCCCTTTGTCCTGCCTCAGACCTGCTTTCAGGCTGCTGCGTCTTTGCCATTACCTTTTTTTTAATTAAAAAATGGAAGTACAACCTGTTCTTGTCACAGTGAGATACCCACTGGAGTTCCCCTTGGTTATTTATTAATTTATTGTGACTTGTTGCAGAGGAGGGAGAGCTGTGGGGAAAGGAGCTGTGTCTTTGGGTGGAAACTGGCTCAAAGAGACACGTGGTTTAATATTCTAGCAACCAATATTTATTATTTAGCCTTGGTTATTTATTAAAAACTGGGATAGATGCTTATTTCCAGCGAGAGGGAGAAACTTGTGTTTATTTATGTCGTGTAATTGTTGCTTACAAGATCTGAGCACGTTACACAAACTGCCACAGGCCCTTTAAAGCCTGTCTAACCTTTATTGTAACAACTGCTCTGTGTTATTTAAATCATGGGGGAAAAAATCTCTATTTATATACCTCGGTAGGATGATCTCATAACCCAATGAACTCCCCTTTGGGGTTACTTCCAAGTCTTTTCTTTTTTATAAGAATGATTTTTCAAAAGCAGTAGTTAATTGGACGTCAACCTGCTTATTTTTAGCAGTTGATCTCTTTGTTTCCCAACAGTTGATGTTTTTAGGTAAATACAGAGACCTCACTGCTTGTTTTTCTCCTGGCAAAGCTGCACCAAAGACACCAGAACATCACAATCAACTCCCCTCCCGTGCCCGGTCCTGCCTGACGTGAGTTTGGTACGTGGTGCTTGACCTTGGGGTTCTCCTGGCCCATTACTGAGCACAGTAATTTTAAATTTAAATTTCAGCACAGGCTGAAATGTAAAACGTTTGCCCCTTAAACTTAAAAGCAGTGCAACTTCTTGCAGCCCAGGGAGAGCTGTGAGGAAAGGAGGATGCGCCGCTGTGTCCTGGGTGGAAACTGGCTCGGAGAGAAATGTGGTTTAATATAGTTGCAACCAATTTATCCCAATCTGAGATTTAATTGAAGGAGTAAATTAACCGTATAGTCTGCGAAAGGGAAATTATGGCTGGATTCGTCTTTCTTAATTTCTAGGAAGAGAAACCTGAATTATTCACCCCAGGATGCGTTTGCAGCCACTGGTCCCTCCGGAGGGCGATTCATCTGACCTCCCTCAGGTGGTTCCCCCAAGGATGAGTCACTCTCTGGATAGAGCCATTCCTTTCTGTGGACTATATAAAGACTTCTGGATGAGTAGCTCAAATTTGGGCTTTTAATGATTTCATTTCAGGATGACGCATTTTATGTAAAGTGACCCATGTGAGTTAACCATTTGAGCGCTGATTAATCTTGTATGTGGCATCCTGCGTAAATCAGAAGTAAATATTTTAAGAACCCATTTGTTTCCGGGTGTCTAGAAGTTAATTTGTTAAGCCTTAGGTCCTTATCTTCAAGGGTCGAGGTCAAGGGAGGTCATCCTGCCCCTCTGCTCTGCCCTGGGGAGGCCCCAGCTGGAGCACTGGGACCAGTTCTGGGCTCCCCAGTTCCAGAAGGACAGGGAACTGCTGGAGAGGGGACAGCAGAGGGCTACCAAGATGATAAGGGGCCTGGAGCATCTCTCTTTGAGGAAAGGTTGAGGAACTTGGGTCTTTGGAGAAAAGAATATTGAGGGGGAACCTGATCAATGCTTATAAATACTTAAAAGGTGGGTGTCAGGAGGATGGGGCCAGGCTTTTCTCAGTGGTGCCCAGGGACAGGACGAAATGGGCACAAACTTGAACATAAGAAGTTCCA